CACTTTAACAAAAATGGGTCTGCTCAATGCTATATCAGTTTGACAGTCTGAGATGCATCACTTCACATGGAGGGGGCTGCTTTCTTGAATAATGTATTTATGCTGGAACCCTTCCTTTTCAATGTGGTTCGTGCTAGACCAGACGTTTTGCTCGTGAAATGTACGCGTGTTGAACTTCTCTCGCACCGTACGTAGCCAACCGTGATAATCGGAGGTGCAGGGGAAGGACAACAAACTGAACACAGAACGCAGTTCTAAAGAAATTAGTTTGTCAATCTAGATTTCAAAATGCACAGCTCAAGTAGTTTCCTAATATCGGAAGGAAGAGCGTTCCAGGTGGCTGCAGAAGCACATCTGAAAGCACCACGCGATGCGGTGACCGCCTTTCTTGGATGGCTATGATAAAACCACTGCTGGATAAAGCCTCCCGAAGCCATCGCCATCTCTCACAGCCCTGTCATGTAACAAACCACCGAAAGCACCTGCACACTTGCAGACTTCAATTTACGGTAGTCCATTTCATTCAGCTAATGCAATTACAAGCCTTTGCAAGTCCCAATTCTGAGTGTGACCAATGAAGCTTTTCAAATATGAACAAAATAAATCTACAGACGACGTCTGTTACGACTACACCCGCCTACTAATGACTTCACGCATTACCAAAAACAGGTCACGCTTTTAAAAACCGTCGCTCTAACATGGCACCCAGAGGGGGAGGTGGGATTGAAGGTTTCAAACTTACAAAAAATGTTTTTAAAGGGGCGCCAGCTTAAATAGACCACACGTTAAAACCCTACAAGCGTTGCACCTCATGACGTTAAAAGACATTAACGGGGTCGCAGCCAAATGGGCTTGTGGGAGGAGGGCACATGCATCACCAAGATGCAATCGGACGTACAGACAAATGCAAGGGAGCTGCAGGGCATAATATTCAAGTTGCCACCATTGTCACCCTCTGGTACATTCGGCAACCATGGGAAAGTTCAGAGGCCCGCGTTAAGAGGACTTGCCTGCAGGCTGCAAGGTTCTCTGCGTATTTGTCTGTATGTTTATTTGTCTATTTATTTATTTTAACAATATACATGGTGGGAATATACACTGAACTTTGTGCAGATTTTAACATGAACGGCATCGCTGTTATTTTTATATATATACAGAAATGCTTGCGTTTCTAAACTTAAGGCTGAAGTAAATCGGGGCACAGCAGATGTTACGCGTATCGTTTCATAGGTGTGTATCAGGCACAAGAAACCGAAAAATGCTGTAGTCAAATGAGCAGGGAGCCATTCCATTGGTGGCTCTGGGGCAGTGGTGGAAATTCCACATACCTATGAAGGGGTTTCATTTGATCCTTTAGCCATATATCATTGACCATGGAATGATGATTGGCTGCATCAATCCCTGATCCAGATTTGAACTTGCAAATTTACATCTGTGACTTGAACTCTATCTGGCCAGATTCTGCATATAAAATGCAGTATTGAAGCGTCACGAGTTTTCTTTTAGACATGCATGCATTATTTTTCATTGCACGCTAAATTCACAGTGGCTAGTTTTCACGGGTTGTAGAAAACTTATCTGTTTTAAATGGCTTTCTCTAAGTTATTTTCAAACGTCTTTGCCACTTCTTCTTTCCTTAGTTGATGTTAAAGTATTTCCGCTTTTCCATGCATACCGCCCTGAGAACGATCGTTTTAAGGGCGCTTTATAAACTTAAATGATAATTATTACGAGTGCTGTCGTGGGGTATAATTGAAAGCAAAATCATTCCATGGCAGTTAGCGCTCTGCATGGCCACTCGGGTTCAATCACTCCGAAGAAACAACACTGGTAGAAATTGACACTTGAACCCGCGAGGCCATCACCTTGGTCAACATAGCCTCCAGTAGAAAGTAAGTGCCACTTGTAATTTATCAACGTTCGCACTTGATAGGCAACGGCTGGACGAGTTGTTGGCCACGCAAATACCTCGTGCGCTGTATTGTCCTGAGTAGTCAACGTCACTTGTGATGTTAATAGTCGATGTGAACATTTAGGCGTTGGTGCTCGTCTCCTTTTATGCAGCACTGAGCCACTGATGGAAATTCCACCGTCCTATGGCAGAGACGAGTCTTCCCCATAGGACGACTACCGTTCACTTGACCACAAAGTGGTACTCATTATATCGGTCCCTGGGGAGATGTTGCCCGATTCAACCCCGCCACCCCCAACCTTAACAGAAGCTCACGAAAGGCACTTTTCCTCTGAACGATTTAACCGGCCCAGCAAGGCATTGTCGTTGTAGCTTTGCATATGCGGGGTGCAATCTGTCGCCCAATTAAAATAGTGCTTGGCAAAAATCCCGCAACATTTTCAGTCGTCACGTGTCTTCCGATGAATAATTTGGATATAATTACAGCTCGCGGTTTTTTTGGAGGTCGCATTTAAAATAAATGAATAAATAAAATTAATGTTTCATGTTGGGTGAGCCATTTGCCAGCCAATAGCGGCACACATGGGTAATTGGTAGGGCGGCTGCAGCTGGCGCTGTGATTGTGTGGCATTGTAGAGGTGTCCTACTGATGTCTCTTTCTCTGGGGTTTCTATCGCTCGCACACAGTTTGTTTGATGCAGGTTTTTTATTTATTTGACTTCACACCAGGATTCGGTAAGCAATGTTGCATTGATGGTGTGCGTCTGTGCACACGTCTTGTTGTGCATATGTGCTTGTGCATGTGGAGCGGTTATGTCATGGTTAGCGCACTCCTCTGAAACTGACGACCCAAGTTCAAATCCTGATCACAACCAATTACAGTGGCGAATATTTGAACCAGTTCTTGGCCCTCCCTCCGTTGGTCTGGTGCGTACTTCATAGGTGCCCGCTAAAAGCACTTGCCCTAATAGTCTTAAACACTCTACGGGGGATCTTTGTCTTTGTGTGTGGGATTGGTGGTGGAGTGTTTCCCGAACCGCACTACGAACCAGGTGACCCGAGTTCGATTCCTGCTTCTGGCCAGCAGGAGTGATGCATATTTGAACTGGTACTGGCTGCCCATAGATTAGCTTAGTTTTTAATCTCTCAGAGTATGATGAACAGAGTACCACGTGTCAACAGCGGTTCTTTGGAGTGATTAGTCCCCTGATCAGAGTATTATAGAATTCATACCACCCACTCATGGCTGCGAATGTAGAGAAGAACAAACCCCGCTCTCGATTGGGCGGTGGAACACTTTTGACTTTCGCCTCGATTTAAATAACGAAGAGTCCAGCGGAATTTGGCAGCGGCTCCGTTATTTGGCAGTGGTAATTGTGGCACGACTGCTCATCGCCTCTGATGCTCCGCGTCCCCGGGGTTCAGTCCCCCAGGCCCCCCTCGATTTTGACTATTTGATAGGAGCCCCCTCCACCGCCTGCATTTCTAGCCCAATCCAGGACGGCTCCCGCCGTGCGACCATTTGCATGACGCCCGGTGGCGATTGATGGACTCCAAACGGCGCAATAATGAAGGGCCAAGAGAAGGCCCCCCGGGTTACCTCCGAAGAGCCGCCGTGATTTAGCGCTGCGACCAGCTGCACACCAAAATCTAAGATGCGCGATCGCGTACCCCCAGACGCCCGCTTCGCCCCCCACTGGGGGGGGGGGGGGGGGGAGAGGAATGGTGGGGGGAACAGTTGCTCACCCCCCTGGCAATTTGAGGAAAGATGCTTTTATCAGCTGCGGGGTTGATAATGTACAGCTCGTTCTGCTGTGATTATTCTTATTATTGACGACTGGATGGACGTATTGGCAATGGTAATGGCTAATGTATCGCCCTTTCTGGCGTGATTTGTCTTTGTTAAATACTTACGTGCCATACTTATTGACCGCAGCTGATGAAGACAACAGCTGCCTACCAAATCCATTGTGTGACTGTAATTGCAGTTAATAATAATAATAATTTAATTTTTATACCGCCATTATTGCTAATAGCATCCCATAACGCTGTTGAAAGAAATGTTCACTTGCGGAATAAAGTATGTGTGTTTGTGTGTGTGTGTGCGCACACATGAATTTCATGTGAAAAAAACTATTAACTATTTTTTATTTTACCAGGTATGGTCCTCTAAGCTATCTAGCTCTTTTTCAGAAGTGACCAGGCCACAAATGATAACTCAACGAAGTGTCTTATCAAGTGTAAATTTATAGCAGGAAAATACTCTAAACGCAATGACCCATTGGTCATCACACGACAACCACAGAAATCCACGTCGTATTTCTCGAGCATTGTGTGCAATGCCACTGTTGATGGTAAGGGCCCAATATGAGTATCTGATACGATGTATAATCACCATCAGGACTCGGGAAATAAAAGGTGGCCATATGTGTTTTTTTTTTTATGGCCACACCACCCCCAACGTGTGAGCTGGCCTTCGTAAGTTATAACATTGGAACACAGAGCTTTGGTTGCCCAAGAAAGGCCCAGTTTCCAGTGTCCTAGGATCAGCGGCGCGACCTGGATCCACGTGGAAACTCGTCACGAGTCGTGCGGCGCCATCTCCTTTAGCCCTGCCCTCTCTTCTACCCTCTGGCCAGGGCTAGATAGTGGAGAGAATAACTAAGTTTAATGTAGGCGTGGGTTAGCTTAGCCTTCACTATGTTGAGTGTCTATGTCTTGCTCTATGTGTATGTATATATATATTTTCACACGAAACTGGGCCTGAAGTTGAATCCAGTGAGTACCATCACAGACAATGTGCACTCTGTCCACGAATTACCCTTTGGCATCACAACTGATTCCAAGATTGATCCATGTAGAGGTGTGTAACTTGGTGTGCTGGGTTGGATCAGTGGGATAGCCATGACTGAGCCACTGCGCCCCTGTTCTGAACCAGTATATCCTAAACAAATATACATATAAACAGGAGATGTGTTGTTTTTGTGTACATGTGCATTTACAGAACGCTCAATGCAAACCATGCTTATTGTTGCAAGCTTGTGGTGATAATGGCGTTGCTGTGTTTTGCTGTGTGTGTGTCCTGTAGCGGTACCCTGCTGGCATTTCTGCTGGACCTGCTCAAGAGCTCTGTGGCCATGCAAGAACAGATGTTGGCCAGCAAAGGCTTCTTGGTCATCGGATACCTGCTTGAGAAGGTGTGGTGGCCTCGCACATAAGCGCTCGTGCACGTGCCGTACAACGGCCTGCGTGAACACGCGTTCACGTTCATGTGCGCGCACAGAACGAATGGGTGGAAATGTATCAAATAAAAGTTAACAGTACCTCCCCGTTCAAATGGGTAAATTGGCCTTGAGTCGTAGGGGAAATTGCACATTTTCACACGCGTACTAAAGACGGTTACAAAAGTCCTCTGTGTACACCACACGGGGCCACGTCACCTGTGCTCAGTTCAATGGAGCTTAGCGATGCAAAGGAATAGGGTGAACGTAGAACAAAATTAACAATTGCGGGAAGAGCCAGCCTCAGTTTTTATTGCGCACAGAAGTGCCTCAAAGAGCAGCTGATAACATCGCAAATCAGCAACCTTGGGAATAAGCTAAGACGCAACAGTAATGGGGTTTGATTTGTCATCTTCAGGTTGCTTTAATGCCCCTTGACGTAATGGCGAGCGCCGACCGGTGACACGTTTCCATGGCAGTCATCGCAGCCTGCCGCTAATGAGGAGGACGGATTGCGAGCAGGGCCCGCACATCAGTGTGAAATAGTAGCGATGGGGGGGGGGGGGGAAGGTGGTGACACGTGCTCTCTACAGCCAATGGCAGTAAGACAGATGCATCAGAGTGTTAGCTAGAATTCATAATAATTAATAATAATGTGCGTTACAGCAGGTAGGCAGCTGATGAGGTTTAAAACAATTATGTATCAGTCTGGGCCAGATCTCTACTTACGAGAAGATGGTTGCGTTCGGACAGCCCTGTGAGACACATTTGGTTGAGTTGAAAAAATGAGCAACCATACTCATGCAAGCCGGCATGAGTCTGCTGGTAAGGGGCAACTATTGTCATATGTAATCCCAATTGAGAATTTTGTGAATAATTTTTCCGAATTTGGTAAATCTGGACCATGGCGCTGGAGCACGATGGCCTACCCGTTCGGAATGATGTCAGGAGATCTTTAACATTCACTGTGGAGTCGACGACACATTTTCTATTTTTTTATTTAAAGCTTTCGTGGCTGCAGCAATTCATATTTTTAGCTCTTTCGGTAAAGTCATGTTGAAGGGAAACAATAAAATAATAAAATATATATAAAACAATAAAAATTCTCACGACGTTTCGACCATAACACAAACGGTCGTCATCAGAAGTAGTTTGTGTTATGGTCGAAACGTCGTGAGAATTTTTATTGTTTTATATATATTATTATTTAATTGTTTCCCTTCAACGTGACTTTACCGAAAGAGCTAAGAATATACATTTTCTATTGTTAATATACCCGCAGTAATAACTATAGTTGCCTACCGGATTTAAACCATGAACCTCTGCAATACCACCTTTGATGATACTGTGCTGTGGCAACAACATGTCATACAGAGGAGACGTCCGATTTGCCGTTGCATGCACGTAAATGCTTCGATAAATGATATTTGTTGTGGTGCATGCTTGTATTATGGCCCAAAATATTGTTTGTAAAAATTGCCCACAATTGTTTCTTTGTAAAACGAAATCTTGATGGTTAGCTTGGCTCTTCTGTGTAATGTTTTTTTTTTTACAAAACATGACAATTCCATAAAAATAACTGCAGAATTATGATGGAACACAATGCATAAGCAAGCATTGTAGGTTTTTCATTAAAGCACAAATGATGGAACATCGGGTCATAATGCATTGCCAGCTTTTGTTGAAATGTTAAAATGTAAGACAGACAAAATGTGCCAGCCGTGCCTATTCCACCAGTCAAAGTGAACACCGGGGATGCTGTGAGGGCATCATGTTCATCCAGTGGAATTGTCCCCAGACTTCATTAATTGAAGGCTCCTGTTGTTGTACTGCCCTCCTTTTGTGGGGGCCCACAGACCTCCTTCGATCAATCAGTGCTGACCTGGTATTAAATGTATCGCTTCTGGGTGGATTATGGACAAATCGACCCTGACTGGGATTTAAACTCCTAAACTTCAGGTTGTGGGTAAAGGGCTCCAACCAACCGGCCAGATTGATATAAGAGCCACTATAGCTGTCTTAAGACTTGTGGTTTAAGCAGGTGGCCATGTGACTGGGACGATTAGCCAAATTATAAATCTAAGAGCTGATTAGCTGATGGCATCTGTACAAATTAGACGCATGGATGTCTCTGCACCAGTACCTCTAATGATCCCTTTAGTTCTTCCAATGCATGCCATGTCTTGTAATGAGCAATGCGAAATCTTTCTGAGAAAACATCTCTCCTTCCAGAATGTCTGCCAGAGCTACAATGAAATTGATTATTTTGCCGTTTCATAACCCGCCCTGGTGGTGCTGTATAAGAGCGTTTGCCTCGCAATCATTACATCGTTGTGAATTCAAATCTTATTCTGGGATTGACGCGGCTCATCTTCCAACCGAAGTTGATAAAACGACTCAACCCTGTGTGGAAAGGCAGCAGCGATTGTCTTATGGAGAGCCTCGCTTTGGCTCGAGGAATAATGAATCTCCACCACTGGCTCCGGGCCAACAGCATTGATGAAGCACCCATGCAATGCTTGTCTGTACAATGTAGGCTCATCCGCAATTATATCCAATTTTTTTTTTATCAAAGTTCCGTCAAGAACCAAAGATATATAATTATCCAAACCAACGTTCAGTTTCTATATGTATTCAAAGGAGGAGGCTTTGGCGGTTTCCTGGGTAATGATCGTGTTCATGTAATGAGCCAGAATCTTTGAGATGCTGGGCTCAAGGCAAAGGTTATTTCCATGGATTAAATAAATATATATTTGCTGCCCTTATTCAAGGGAAGTAATAGAGGTCTGTTGAGTCCAGCAAAGGTCAACCAAGCTGCCATGTACAAATAATAAAGAATACTTTTTGGTAAAATCAAATTCTGAAATATGCGAGTCTCACTCACCAAACAATTGGGATATTGAGAATGGTATTGCGTGAGCTGAGATCACAATTGGAGGTAAAAGTTGCTTAAAAGTAATATGTGGACATAATGACATGAATGGAGATAAAACATTTCAATTAAATATGGCTTGCGGAACTGGAAACTATTGCACTGTATATAATTTATAGTTTGACAGTGATTTTATGAGACCATTCTCAAATGGCATTGTTAATTTCATAAGCTCGACAGCAGTGTTATGGAGTTCACATGAAATGGGTCGTAGAAAAATCACTTTAAAGTAGCCCAGGTTAGCGAGGCATCGAGTAGCAGTGAAACACAAGAGGTTATTTTTTTATATTACTAATAACTGTGCACATTCTCTCATTAAGTAAGGTGTTATGGGAGAAATCAGCTATCAAATATAATAGGCCCTTGTTACAAATCTTGGTACACTTTCTCAGCTAAGTGAAATGTTACGGGATATAATAGTCGCGATGGAATATGAGATGCTCCTATTATCACAGACCACTGTGCACATGAACCTGTGGAGAGGAATTTTTGGGATAGTGGTCATCAAATACAACATTCTTAATTAGTTTAATCACTGTGCACATTCTCCAGTGAAGTGAGGGGCTCGCAGTGTTGCCAATTGCTGTGCACACTCTCTGGTGGAGTGGCAAAGCGGAAGAAGGCTCGATGCAGCAGGCAGAAGTTGTGAAGTTCAAATATCAGCCAGAGGTCGACTCAGCTTACCTTTTCCCAGAGCTCGGGAGAACGTGCATAACTTTGTAGTTTCTCTATGCACAGACTGGTCTCTGTCATTAAAATGTGGAATTTTCCACGACTAGCTCGAGGCCACTAATGTAGATCGGCAGTGCCCAACACTGAGATCATCACCGAGACACCTTGTTTCGTTTTTGTTTTGCCATCTGCAAATGTTGTCGTATGATGAGAACACATTTGTACGTTTAGAGTTATAGGCTTGGAAAGGTAAATCAAATGGGGTATTCAGTCTATACTTTTACTCCAACTCATTCACTAACAAACATATCTCGGACCGCATTCGTGAACACAAAGCAGACCTGAAACACGGTAGGACCAACACCTCGGCCGTGGCAGATCACTGTTATAATTCAGTAGGCTCACATGACATTGACTTCTCCAATACAGAGGTTCTTTGCAAGCCATCTGGCTACCATGAGAGATTCGTTCACGAGGCTATCCACATATACAAACACAGAGACAATTTCAACCGAGAAGATGGATTCTGGCTTAACAATCATTGGAAGGATTTGATAAACCATTTCGGGTCTTAATTGATTGATCACGCTTAAGGTGGCTTTTAGACCGCATACGTTATTTTTCGACTCCCCCCTCCTCTTTTCGGAACATAGATGGACTTGTCCATCTGAATAAACTGTCAAATCGCTCTCCGTGGTGCTAATGTTAAAAAACCGCCACTTTTTTCAAATTTTCTTGCTGTGGTTTTCACACCTGATGATGATTGCTTGTGTTGCAGTCGAAACGTCGTGAGAATTTTATTGTTTTATATTTTTATTATTTTATTGTTTCCCTTCTACGTGACTTTACCGAAAGAACCAAGAATATGAATCCCTGCAGTCACGAAAGCTTTAAATCAAAATTTAACTGCCTCTACGGGGAGGGTTTCCACATAACTTTGCGATCCTTCAACAAACTCCGGGATAAGAAGGCTCAGCTGTTCGAGTCTCTCACCTTTCTGAAGAGATGCCGCGACTCTGGGGTAATACCAATCGCATTTACACTGACCTCTGCTGCTGTAACTTCTTCTAATGCGAAACGAATTCTTTCCAGAACTAGCTTAGCTCTTATATCAGAGAACTAGATAAGTTAGACAATACACTCTACAAATCACACTTATCATTGACGGCAACAATGCCCACATCGGATTGGGAACATGTAGACAATATGACTGCCTCTTCAGCTGCCACTATGTTGACCAAATGTGAGGACAACCTGATTTCCAAATTTAACCTCCTCTCCAACAAAAGACCGGACCCACTCCAAAAAGCTAGACGTTAACAAAGTCGTAATTAATCGCAATAACAGTTCTATTTCCGATGGTCTGAAATCCGTTTTGCTAAAGGGCTAAACTTTGCAGTCATACCTAAACACATACCAGTTAATATCATTGCCCAAGTAGATGTGGCTCTCAACGGCCTGGGTCACATCGCTGCAGACGTAGCAAGATCTTAAATCGCTGCAACCCTCAAAAACGCTAAGATGCCAGCTAGCAACCTCAGTAAAGATGAGCGTTTTGAATTATATAAATTAAAAAAGAGGGATGACATTGTCATCCTCTCAGCTGACAAGGACAATGCTACTGTCATGGATAAAATAGAATATAACAACAAAATTCAAGAATTACTCAACGATGGCAGCTATACAAAAATAAAAAGAGATCCCACAAACAGCCTCGTCATTAAAACCAACAAAATTATTTCTGATTCAACTGCATTAATTGATCAAACCAAACAGTTCTCGTTGAAACCTTCTGCTGCCAGGCCACCAAGATTATACGGCTTACCAAAAATACATAAAGTAGATACACCCCTTCGTCCCATCGTCTCTACTATCAACTCCCCCACCTACAAACCGGCTCGTTTTCTGTCTGAAATCCTGCGGCCTTTTACTGGAAAAAACACCTCTGCGGTAAAAAAAAATTCTACTCACCTGGTATCGACATATCACGGGTATTTCCCTGTTGCCAGACGACCTGCTTGTCAGTTTAGATGTAGTTTCCTTATTCACAAAAGTTCCTGTACCTGACACCATCGCAATCATTGAAGACTTGGTTCATCAATGACTAAACACTGAGATACCCCCCCCTGGTGAGACACTGCTTAACCAATACATACTACACTTGGAATGGAACGTTCTACAAACAAACTGAGGGCACCCCAATGGGCTCCCCCCTATCTCCGGTTGTAGCCAACATTTTCATGGAGAAATTTGAGACTGACGCCATCCAGACTGCCACTCTGCGCCCAACCTTATGGAAGAGGTACGTGGATGACACTTTTGTCATCTGGCCACATGGCCGGCCTGCTCTAGACCAATTCCTCGACCACATCAATTCCATACACCCAGCCATCAGATTTACCATGGAAGTCGAAAAAGATGGCAAGCTACCCTTTTTGGATGTCCTAATTAAAAGGAGACCTGATGGTTCAATGAGCCACTCTGTCTACAGGAAAGCTACCCATACGGATGCTTACTTAAAACCGGATTCCTACCACCATCCATCCCAGAAGAACTCCCTCATCAAGACTTTATACCATAGAGCCCAATGCATTTCCGACCAGGAACACATTGCCAGTGAACTCAAGCACATTCACCAAGCTCTCAAGGCTAATGGTTACTCCGACTACACAATCCGTAAAGCCATGACTCCAGTCATGAAGAACGATCCTCTTGAGGAGCCATTCAAAACCATCACCTTACCCTACATTGCGGGGGTCACAAAAAAATTCTCCAAAATCTTGAATAAACACAAGATCCAGGTCCGATTCAACATAGTACATAAAATCCGTGATCTGGTTCCGTCTGTAGAAGATGTGGTTCCAGACATACAGTACCCGGGCCTTTACAAACTAAGTTGCCTCTGTGGTAGCAGCTACATTGGAGAAACCAAACGACATGTCTCGGACCGCATTCGCGAACACAAAACAGACCTGAAACACTGTAGGACCAACACCTGGGCCATGGCAGATCACTGTTATAATTCAGTAGGCTCACATGACATTGACTTCTCCAAGACAGAGGTTCTTTGCAAGCCATCTGGCTACCATGAGAGATTCGTTCATGAGGCTATCCACATAAACAAACACAGAGACAATTTCAACCGAGAAGATGGATTCTGGCTTAGTAATCATTGGAAGGATTTGATAAAACCATTTCGGGTCTTAATTGATTGATCATGCTTAAGGTGGCTTTCAGACCGCATCCATTATTTTCGTCTCCCCCCTCCTCTTTTCCGAACATACATGGACTCGTCCACTTGAATAACTGCCAAATCGCTCTCCGTGGTGCTAACATAAAAAAAAAACATTTTTTTCAAATTTTCTTCCTGTGGTTTTCACACCTGATGATGATTGCTTGTGTTGCAGTCGAATTTTATTGTTTTATATTTTTATTATTTTATTGTTTCCCTTCTATGTGACTTTACCGAAAGAACCAAGAATATGAATCCCTGCAGTCACGAAAGCTTCAAATAAAAAAAATAAAACATCTTTTGATTTAAAGCTTTCGTGACTGCAGTAATTCATATTCTTAGCTCTTTTGGCAAAGTCACGTTGAAGGGAAACAATAAAATAATAAAATATATATAAAACAATAAAAATTCTCACGACGTTTCGACCATAACACAAACGAATAAAAACGGTTTTAATTGCAATGTGCCTCATCGTCAGTGCAAAGCTGCTTTGTGAATCATTCTGGAGATAATTGTTCAATGCAAGCATTTGCCAGAGCATCTGGCGATAATTACAGATATTAAAAAAATACACAAACGCACGTGTTGGCACAAGCTCACACAATGGTAAAAGTCTTCAGTGTGTAGCTATCCAGACTGTCGAGGCAAGCACTTTTAGCAAGCACGCCGTTATTGCCTGCAGAGTGCGCAAGGGCCGCTTCTTCGTCCAGCGTTGTCTCCCCATTGCTGATGGTTACACACTCAAATGCACGTACTCATTTGAGGCCGAGTTGACCTAGAAGAGGCCCAGGACAAGTTCAGATGCCACTGGTCACCGGTGTGTATAGCCAGGAATCGAAGGTGGCTGGGATTCAGTGGGGAAAAAAAACACTCCTTCACTGCCCTCTCCGCTACACAAAATCACGTGCATGTGTGGACACACATTCACAAAATGAGCTGTACACTGTAGTTGAATTCAATTCTTCAAATATTTTGTACATTTTTTTTATCAATTTTCCAATTTATGGCAGAATGTTCAACGAAGATATTTCCAGTTGAAGATGGACGATCACAGCCTTCTCAGTGCTTCCTGCACGAAGCCATGCCCCCAACATTGTAATGGATTCCACACATTGGTGGAAATGTTTCATCTCATGGCAAGAGAAGTGGTGGAATGGCTACGTTTTATGGGAACAATCATGATATGCACATACATTCTGAACGTTCTGAGTTTGTGCTAAGACAGCCATCAATTCGGGCAAAAAAGTGGCGGACTGATGGCCAAGATAGCTACATAAATCGGGGCCCCTCATTTATTTCAAGACAGGTATGTGCGGCAAGGGAAATATTTCTCCAGCAGGGGACAAGCAGAAGGAGCAACCTCTTCTACCTCATGGTGATGGATGCAAGGTTAACAGAGAAGGAAATGGCTGTGCAGCAGAAAATTAAAATAACCTCAGCTCTCTTTCCTACTTTTAATACCGTCACGAGGTGGTTACAAATGTATATTGTGGCGGCAGCTTTAGTGGGTATATTGGGATCCAAAGGAAGAGTAATTTATTGACAACATGGCATAAGCCCACAAAATGCCATGGATTTCGATCCACAAGCCCACAGGCTCAGTGGCACCGCAGCCAAATCCTCTACTGGGCACAACAAATACAGCTGCTCATTCCATCCACAGTATTGAACCAGCAGTACCATGCCCAAAAACAGAATCACAATCTTTATTTATACTGGAGGAATCCGATGAGCTGTAAAGCTCTTTTTCCACAGAGATCCAGTAGGGGTGGGTCAGAAAGTTACAACAAACAATATACAAATATGATGGGAGTACAAATTGTAGGAAAGGTAACAAATCACGAATACATTGAAGATGAAACTAAACTTTAAATTTTACTGCTTTTTCAGAGAGACCTGGCCACAGATGATAGCTCAACGAAATAGCGTATCATGTGGAAATGTATAGCAGCCAAATAATCTAAATAATCGAAATGGATATTCTTGGTTCTTTCAGTAAAGTTACGTAGAAGGGAAATAATAAAAGAATAAAAATTAAACATAAAATAATAAAAATTTCACGACGTTTCGGCCACAATGCAAGTAGCCATCCTCAGGTGAAGAAACAGAGCTGTCGGAAAGACAGCGTCCGACAGCTCTGTTTCTTCACCCGAGGACGGCCTTAAACGAGTTCCCAGCCCGGTGCTCAGCGCGCCGCTCATCGTGTGCTGCCGAACCTGCGCCCAGCTGATTTTCTGTGTCCATCGCCCCCCCCCCCCCCACCACGCTCCCGTGCCCCCCCTACGCCTTCCCTTGCTTCGCGCAGTCCTCAAGGGCCCACGTGTCACGTGCCGTGCTCGAGCACTTCCTGTCGTTCGCCAAGTACCTGGACGCACTGCCCCACGGCGCCCCCATGCTCAAGCAGCTGTGCGACCACGTGCTCTTCAACCCCGCCATCTGGATACACACGCCGGCCAAGGTAGGGCTGGCCCCCAACGCAGTACACCCAAACCCCGCCCCCGTGAACTTCGTTCGTTGATACCTCCGGGTCTGTGAACGTGGCTGACGTCCAAACATCCCAATGCGGGGCCCTCCTCAGAAAGAAGTCTTTGCGCTCGGCATGAAAATTTCTGGGTGAAAAATTGTCGCCCGTATCGTCTAATTTTGCCGTCCCCCATCGTCTCTTGTCCCAAGCGCTTACCGCAACAACCTTGCTCAATTCAGGAAACGTGTTAACGCTTCCCTCCGACAATTTCAATGTAGTTTCGTTTGTTGCTGGCCGTTTGGCGTTTTAGCTTTCAGCCTGTGCTCGGCAACCGTGTGGGTTATCGCACCCGCACTTGAGCTGAATGAAAGGCGCCACACGCTCATACGCATGCAGCTAAGGTGCATACGTGGCTTAGGCAATTTGGGAGGGCATAATGATAATTATGAACTGTAGCAGAGACCAGTATCGCACTTCTTGGCTTCTGCAAAATTGCTCCTAAATGTAATTGAGCCTTAAATGGATGTTGGGCTGAGTCAATCCCCGACCGAGATGTGTGCTCAAAAAGTTGTGCTTGCGAGTCCCGTGTACTAACCACAGTGCCAGCCTTTTGCTCATCAGAGCGCGGAGAGACCCTTTGAGGATTGTGGCTCAGCGCTCTAACCGTCAGGCCACCGTTCCCCACTCACAGTATTGCGTGTGCACGCTCAAATGGGAGCGAATTTCACTCCACTAATGGCGGAGCTCACAGGTGCGCGTCTGCCGCCGTAATTGTAACAAGGCCCAGTACCTCCGTCCGCAATGGGCCCTCTGTGTCACTGCCCGCGGCGGCCAGATGAGGGCTTGAAGCCAGAGTTGCACGTGAGATGATGCAGGCCGCACGAGGTCCGCTGGGGGAGGGCTGGCTAAGCGACTCCCGCGACGGAAGAACGATTGTTACATAAAGCTTCATCGACCGTAAACGCTGTCTGCCGAGACATACTGTAGAACTTCACAACCGCTTGATGCAGCCCATTAAACACGTACGACGCAGCAGTGGGTAGTAGCCGCTTAAGGGTCCCCGCACTTGACGGATGTCTCCTCTGCCGTGGAGAATTCTGTCAATGGACTGTGTTGATTGCTGCCAATATAAACGTGTCTGTGTGTATGTGTGTGGGGGAGTGGTAGTGTAGCGGTTAGCGCGCTGCGCTTCGAACTGGGCACCCCGAGTTTGATTCCCGCTCAAGCCCAACACCAGTAACGAATATCTGAATGAGTCCTGGGCCTCCCCAAGGTTAGACTCAGCCTCAAATGAGTACCTTGTGCAGTGTGTAAACATCGTCACTGGGGACACAAAGGCGGCCGGGCGTGATGCTGACCACCCAACCCCCTCGTGTGCCATGCCGGCCTTTATATGTGCTCGCCAACAGCACTTGCCCCAACAGTCTGTTAAGACTATTGGGGGGTTCTTTGTCCCGTGTGTTTGTTTCAGGGAGTGGTAGTGGTGTGACGGTTAGCATGTTGCGCTACCAACCTGGCGACTTGTGCTCGACTTCCACTTATGGACGGCACCAGTGACGATTATCTGACAATTATCTGAACTGGTCCTGGGCCTCCCCAAGGTCGACTTAGCCTCAAATGAGTACCTGGTGCGGCGTATAAACATCGCCACTGGGGAGACAAAGGCGAAGGGGCATGGTGCTGGTCACCCACCCCACTCGGAGTATCGTGCCGGCCTTCATAGGTGCTCGCTAACAGCACTTGCAACCTGCATAGGGGGATCTGTGCCTTTTTGTGTTTGTGAGAGTGGCGGCACAGCGGTTAGAGCACTGCGCTATGACCCCACTGACCCAGGTTCAAAGCGTGACAGGGGTGTCTGAGTTTGCCCTGTACTCCGGGACGTGAAACCTACCATGAAATGACTGCCAACATCCAACAAAAGAATGTTCAACTTCAACCACCGGCCCGGGGTGACCGACATAGATGAGCGCAGGCTCATGCTTTCTTGAACGTGGAGATAAGTCGACTTTATTACTTTATCAACGAAATCCTCATTGAGTCTTAAGACTCCCTGTCAAGAGGGTCTTACATTGCGATATTTTTCTTTTTACTTTTTTAAATTTAGTATTTCAGGATGGAGGAAGGTCACAGTGTTCCTGAAGCCTACACGCACAGGGTCGTGGCGGGTTTTAACGAAGCATTTATGTTTACGCTCTCTAACCCCCAAAAAACTGTACACTCGTGAGTTGGCTTAGAATGGTGATAGTCAGCAGCTGTACTCTTTTGTGCCATATTGGCCACAACAGTTGCTCGCCAACATCACGTCCATGCGCACATCGTACGGAAATGCGGGCCCGCTTGGTTTTAGTTTTGTGTTTGTGTGTGGCGCGTAATGTGCGGTCGGTGAATAGCGCCTTGAATTCACTCGCCCAGTGCCAGGGCTTCCTCCTCCGGCACTGCTGAACGCAGCAACACAGAGCACGTGGCCAGTCGGGCATGAGCAGGGGCAGCGAAGTGGGACCCCCAACAAGCTCCGTGATCGGATGGTGACACCATTTGCCATTGATTTGTGGCGATGGGAATTGATTGTGAGTCAAGAGAAGCGAAGCGCAGTCTGATGGCCACTAAACCACTGTTCCCAGCAGTGCTCGCACACGCACACACACAACCTGGCACACACACACAACCTGGCACACACACAACCAGGCACACTCACACACACACAACCAGGCACACTCACACACACTCACAACCAGGCACACGCACACAACCTGGCACACACACAACCAGGCACACTCACACACACACACACAACCAGGCACACTCACACATGCACACAACCAGGCACACTCACACACGCACACAACCAGGCACACACACAACCAGGCACACTCACACACACACAACCAGGCACACACACAACCAGGCACACTCACACACGCACAACCAGGCACACTCACACACACAATCAGGCACACGCACACACACGCACGCACACAACCAGGCACACTCACACAACCAGGCACACTCACACACACACAAACCAGGCACATGCACGGACACAACCAGGCACTCTCACACACAACCATACACACAAAACCAGGCACACGCACACACACAAGCAGGCACACGTGCGTACATACATACGTGTAACGTCACACAGATTCCCTTCGTGGCCTAGTTGTTGGTGTAAGCCGTTATCGTAAACAGCTAAGACAGATTCCCCTCCACGTTGCTAGGGCTAGCACTGCGTTCTGTTGTCTTGTCACCACTTCTTTCGGTAAAGTCACGTAGGTATAAAATAAATCGGCGAACCAACCGGCGATTCCACTGCTGGGTTATATTTTTTTTTATGCCTGAGGACAACCGCTTGTGTTGCGATCGAAACGTCGTGATTTATTTTATTTTATACCTACCGAAAGACTTTACCGTAAGAACCAAAAAGTATGGATTCCTGCAGTCACGAAAGCTTCACATCAAGATTATTTGGCACCAGTTTGGATGGTGTTTGGTGCTTGTTTTTTTAGGCAAATAAACCTGTTAAGTTGGGGTAAGCCTAGCCTGGGATAATCAATTACCTCTGGTGTTTATACATGGCAAAGGAATTGAAACTATGACTCTCGGATTGCCAGTGCAGTATGGTGTTTGTGTCACACCCATCCACAAATACAAACATATCCCCCCTGTAGTGGCAGGTGCTGTTGTTGAACACTCTCACCGCAGCAGCACCACCTGACTGCCTGTAAACCATAATAGAAATCACAAATATTAAGCAGAGGAAATATCGAGACAGTTCAATCCAGCTCGAGACTACGGATACCAATTACCACCGAAGTTTATGCATTTAAATCAAACCTTGCATTTTTGGGAATAGATGGCAGTGCCGTAATCATTGTTACATTCCTACAAAGACCCCCCCCCCCCGTTATAGCCTTCACAGGCTGTTGGGGCAAGTGCTGTTCACGAATACCTATGAAGGCCAACACGGCACACAAGGGATGGGTGGCCAGCACCACGCCGCCTTTGTCTCCCTCGTGACGATGTTTTCACACCCAGCAGGTACTCTTTTGAGGCTGAGTCGACCTTGGGCAAGGTCTAAGACCCAGTCAGTTAAAGGTCGCCGGTATTGGCCGCAAGCAGGTATCGAACCCATGTTGCCCCCACTCATCCACACAAAAAAAACACGCAACGCATACTCATTCTAAAACAAAGATCCCATGTTTAGCTCTTTAGGTTTTAGAAGCAAGTGCTGTCAACAAATAACTACGAAGGCCAGCAAAGCAGAATTACACGATGTTAGTGAGCACCATGCATGAGTTGACCTCGGGGAGATGCAGGACAGGTCAAAAATACGATACTTGCCACCGATATTTGTCCATGGTTGCTAATCAAAGTCAGGCCTTTGGGATTATAGTGCATCGCACGAACCCGTTAGCTCTCCGCTCTACACACTGGACATTGCACACACGCACATACACACAGCACACACAAGCACATGCACACAGACGCAGGCTGCGTGTGTGTACACGCGAGCACATGAACGCACTTGAGCAGGGTACGTGGAGGTGTGCCGGTGTTACCTCGGATCTCAACCCAGACTGCTGCTCCATGCACGCAACGGCTAGGTCTGGTTAGGCAGTGATTGATTCAGCTGCACTCGCGCGCTAAGGGAATATTACCTTCACTATTAACACGCAGTGCTTGAAGATTATTTGGTATTTGGTGTTTTTTTCAGTTGAGTCGCTAAATACATCTTGAGAACAAACTTCAGATGTGCTCTTCTATTGGCCTATTTCAACGAGCTCATTTCACAACGGGAAAGTTGGCAGCCTCGGCATATCATAACTCTGGGAATCAATTAAAAGGAGTACCACTTTATCAAAATCAGACTTGCCGTGCGGTCATCTGCTGGTGCACACACGCACATACACACAGCACACACAAGCGCATGCACACAGACGCAGGCTGCGTGTGTGTACACGCGAGCACATGAACGCACTTGAGCAGGGGACGAG